ATTTTAGGTCTTTTGATCATTAGGTCTTTTGATCATTAGGTCTTTTGATCATTAGGTCTTTTGATCATTAGGTCTTTTGATCATTAGGTCTTATGATCAACTACCGTGCATTACTTCAGCTATAAATCCATTATCACAATTGACACCAAAACCTACGAAACCGATACTACCATCCCGTTTGTAACATTCATGATTTCTTATAACTATTTTCACCAAGCAGTTCCACGGTGTCCACCGAATAAACATCCTTTTAAATGTGAAATTAAATATATAAACAAATCTTGTTCAAAAAAAATATCCGAGACACCAAGATTTTTGATGGTTATTATGTGTTCGGTTACAATTACAATTATAGTGGAAATAATATTACGTCGGTCGACAGTTTTGATAGGATTTCGACGCAAACTAGGACGTCTATTATGAACGCGAAATATTTGTTTAATAATTTAGCAAATGATCGATATAGATTTATGACAATTACACAATCCAAAAATGAAAATACATTAATTGAATATTATCATACATTCAGACGTTTATCATGATTCCAAAACGGTGTACAATAATTATTTCATGAGATTTAATCATACCTTGCTGATTAGAAAAACACTGTTCACTTACCTATCCAACCCACATGGACACTATAGTGATCATAAAAATGATCAAGCTTCATTCGCCGCTATATCATACAAACACTGCGTACGCCGATGCCGGCGATATTACTGGCAAAGACGATTTAAATGTTATATATTACTTCTAGATGATTTTCTATACGATTTAGATATTGAAAGTGATGATGGTGAAGTTTATTTTTATAAGACATCCAGAGATTATGATGTTATGTTCAATACAACTGTTAAATGTTTGAAATATTGTCCCAAAAATTGTTTGTCCGCTGAATATAATACGAGAATCATATCAAGCGATACACAAATTGGTAACGAATTGTGGCATAAATTGAATGTTAATAATAGGACGACAGAGAAGGCATTGGTTTGGGACTCAACGCAACCCCTGTATGTCTATCGGGAGGAACCGGTTATGTCTCTAACAGACTGTATGTCATATACTGGAGGACTGTTTGGCCTATGGTTTGGCACTAATGGGAAAGACTTTGTTTTTCGGATAATTGAGTCGGTTCTGGGTTTGGGTTTACACTAGATATCAACAAATGTTTCCAAATAATAGGATTCATTTGATTACTAATTAATAATCCTTATGAAAATAAAGTTTGCACGATAGAATAAATATAAATTAATCAAATATTTTATTGATACCTCAAAACTTACATTATATATCAGGGTTATGCAAAAGTTTTGATAGGTGAAATATAATCAGTAAAAGTTTATTTATTTTTGAACCAGGTAATTTAAATAAAAAAATTTAATATGAGAAACATGGTTTTAAAACCTCAATAAGCTGCCTAATCGATTATTTTATGCGAGCACCGGCATCTCAGCACAGGTAGTTTTTGTAAAATGTGCTATAACTCAAAAACTATCAGGCTCATCTCTGCAAACGACACACCATTTGAAAGAGAATTAAAAATTGGGAAATACATCAAAAATTATTATATCCATACATCAATACCAACAGGACAGGAAGGACTGGTAGCTTTCAAAACTTGATTTTTAAACAGTTATAGAATTAAAACTATAAGAGATAGAGAAAAGTTGTTTGGTGGAAAATGTGCAGGATTAAATTCTCTATCGATCCATAAAGTNCAGGATTAAATTCTCTATCGATCCATAAAGTAAAAATTATTATGTTGATTTAGAGCACCGGGAGGAAAGGGTGTTTTTATTAATATTTTTATAAATGTACTTATAAAATAAGTTATTAGTGTATCGAATAGAGCTAAAAACTAACAAATAATGCATTTTAAATTTTTAAAATATCTTGCTATATAACATTTATAGGGCATTTTAAAGTTCCATTATTTATTGTTAATTTACAAATATTTTCAATATTAAATTAGTGATATTTTCAATATACCTATAATGATTTAACAATGAATATAATTTATCGACAAAATTTGTCAATTAGCATGGTTAAATATCATATCGGACATATTGGATATAAGATTCGACAATATTAGTAACGGAAACTTTGAAATGCCCTAGAATAGTTATATAGGGAGATATTTTAAAAATATAAAATGCACAATCTGTTAGTTTTTTAGCTCTATTCGATACACTAATAACTTATTTTATAAGTCCATTTATAAAAATAATAATAAAAACACCCTTTCCTCCCGGTGCCCCAAACCAACAGAATATTTTTCACTTTATGGATCGATAGAGAATTTAATCCTACACATTTTCCACCAAACAACTTTTCTCTATCACTAATAGTCTTATCTCTATAATTGTTTAAAAATCAATTTTTTGAAGTTACCTGCCCTCCCTGTCCTGTTGGTATTGATATATATATAAAATAATTTTTAATGTATTTCCTAATTTTTAATTCTCTTTCAAATGGCGTATCGTTTGCAGAGATAAGTCTGATAGTTTTTGAGTTATAGCATATTTTACAAAAACTACCTGTGTTATGATACCGGTGCTCACATAAAGTTATAACTTAGGCAGGCTATATAGGCTTAAAAACCATGTTTCTCATATTTATATTTTTTATTTAAATTATCTGGTTCAAAAATAAATGAACTTTTACTGATTATATTCTACCTATCAAAACTTTTGCATACTCCTAATATTTATGTGTTTGTCTATCAGTGTGGGCGCAGCGCCTCCTATGGGGTGGACTCCATCACTGTTTGCGTCGGACTTTCCGACATAAGCCGATATACGCGACAAACATATAAACCAAAGCCCAGGCCATGAGTGCAAACGGACACCACATGAGCGCCGACTCATCAAAACCCTGGGATTCAATCACTTCTACTCCGGAGGTATAAGTAGTCGTCGATTGTATGGTGTTTGTGGTGTCGGCGGACGACATGTTTCCCACATTTCGCCACTCGTTTACAACCAATGATTGGTATCCGTAATATTCGAACGATAAATACTGGACCCAATACAACCACCCGGGGAATGTACTAGTAATTAATTAAAATTAAAATACTATAATAAAATATTTATGATACTAGTTTAAATACCTTACGTTAATAAAATAGCCACTTAATACTTCCAATATTGTCTGTAGCACTGGCATAATAGCCAATACAGTGCCCAGGTCCTTTGTTAGACATGATAGTAGCATTCCTATTTTAATAAGAAATTAATTAATTTGATTTAAAATTGTTTTAAAAATTATTATATTGCCTATTTATATTTAGTATGTTCATCTATTATTTTATGTATTCATTAAAAATAACATTTAAAATACTAATAATAATTAAACAAAAATTAAACACCCAATCAAAATGTTTAATCATATATTAGACACACATGCTGCATTTATAATATCAAAATCAGGTGTAAATTGAATTGAATTTAAATGTATAAATGCTTTCAAAAACAAGAGAATATAATATAATCATTATAACCAAATTCCCTGGATTCATATTACATGCCATTATGTTGAATTAATTCCAGTGAGCATGGCTATATATAATATAGTTATAAATAGCCATACACAGAGATATAAATATTGATTTTTTGTATAGTATTTTAAAATTATTTCTAACAAATAAATAATTACCAAAATTTGAGCCGCATACCATTAATAACAGTGAAACACCCAGGAATATAACAAATTCTAGCGGGCTGATATAGAGACCAATAGTGAAGTATATAATCACTAAATATATTACATTTATTAATATATTCACGGTCAACTAGTTGATAAATAGATAAGTTGAATTAGCATTGTGATATCTTTTGTGGATTAATGAATAAATTATACTTCAGTTACATCGATATTAATTTGTTACAATCTCATTTAATTGGAAATCTTATTAGGATTTCATACTTAAAATTTCCAATTAAGATTAATATCTGTAGTTAAATGAGACATTAATGTTTTGTATATCGCACCTGGATCATAATGGTAGACAAAAAATATGGCAGCACAGCGTACGTACGGTCGTGGTGCTCCCTATACAGCAGTGGCATCTCATCCACTAATGTCTGACAATATATAGAGAAAATTGGTTTGAATACATGCATTAAATCACCTAGGACGGTGTTCACAAAGTTTCTATGCAAAACATGACCCCCTCCCATCAACACGCCTATGGTACCTATTAGATTAACATGGTGGCACACACACACATTGGCGTGATCAACGCACGCACGTACTTTGTGAGCGCCGCATAATATTTAAATAATTACCACTAAAGCAAAATACATGGGTGGTATACAAATGGCTCCCATAACCATAATAAGTGCTCCCATGATATTACTCGCATCGGAGTAGGCGTGTCCAATATTATAAAACATAATGCCCATCCAGAATACATTAATCTGCCATATACATAACCATTGTAACCATTAGTGTTCAAAAATTGACATGGCTAATATTTACCAAATACATAGCCAATCGGTCTAGTATGAATTGGGGATTACGGATTAGGGTTACATACGAGCGCCACAATAGTGTTATAAATTGTCGCCAATAGCCAGCCTTATAGCCCGATCCCAGTATCGGTATATTTAATGTGGGCGTTCCTCGGGTGGTGCCCTGATTTGAATTTATAGTTAGCCCCGAATAACACGATTCGAGATAATTGTCGCAAATTTTCTGTATTTTAAGATATTAATAATAATTATTTAAAACAGTAATTAATTATTTAAAACATATAAAAACTATAATAAAAATTACATTAACTTTGCGTTTGGTTTGCGAATAATTAGTGTGTGCTATGGCTGTTGTGGGCGTAAAATAAATATAAAATTAAATAACATTTAGTTATTTACAAATATAAGTCTCACCCAGTTGATTTAAATAATAATCGCATGGGTTGTAGGTGTTTGGGCAAAACTGTTTTGAAAAATGAGATAAAAATGTTTACAATTTGTATACAACTGTAATCCAAGTCTTACTAATCCTTGCGATGAAAATAAATCCTTGGCGTCACCTAAAAGGGCGTCACATTTAGAAATTATAAGTATTATAGCAATGGATTTATAATTAGTGTACCGATAGAGCCCATGAAAGCTACCCTTCCGTCGGCCATAAGTAATAAACTGTCGAAGAGTTGAAAGACTGGAGACGAGGGCTGATGTATAGTACAGATGACAGTCCGTCCCTCCGATGCCATAGTCTTCAGAACTTGTACTATACTTTTGGCCATAAATGCGTCCAAACCAGTGGTCGGCTCATCGCTAATACATTCAAACATATTATTATTTAAATCATAAGATAATTACATTTGAGATGTATTTCTGACCAAAACATTAGCGAAGGGTTTGTGAGGACTTCTGAAGCAATGGACAGTCTTTTCATTTCTCCACCGGAAATGCCTTTAAAATGATTTTTGTCTCCAATCCCTGTTTCCGCACATTTCGCTAAATTAAACTAAATATTGAAATTAATTTATAAAAATAATTATTTAATATCCGGATAATTTATATAAACCTTTTCAATAACTCGTTGAATGCAATCTTGTCTCTCATTTGTATTTAAATTTCTATCCATTCTTAACGATACCTTAAAAATAAAATATTTGTCAGAATATTCTGTTTATAATAAATATATTGTATTTTCATATTAAATGATAAATACCTTAAACATGAGGTGCTCTCTGACTGTAAGCATGGGTTGAAACAAATCGTGTTGTTGTATATACGAGGAAATGGATGCAATGGTCTGTTGACTGACTGCTTGTCCATTCATAAGTACCACTCCATTGACGGTCAGTTGCCGTAAATTTCTTGCCGTCAATACATTCAATAGAGTGGTCTTTCCGGAGCCACTGAATGTCACAACAAATTCAAAGTGTTTTTAAAAATAAATAATTAGTGATAAATAAAACAAATCAAAACTCTAGTCGTAATTAGTGTTCGCAGACAATATTTTTATTTTCCTTAATAAAACAGAATTTTAGTGAATTAATTCCGGGAGAATTCCTTAAGAAAATTTTATTAAATAGATATTAAAATTACAATTTATTTACGCGAAAATTTATACTTTTCACTAGATTTTGCAGCTTTAATACAGCTATCATTATTCGTAATAAAGGTTTTAAAATCAATACAATTGAGAGAAAAGTTATTTTTGATGCATATTTCGGCTTTAATTAAACTAATATTCATGCGATTCCTCTCATCCGTCCAAACCCTCTTCAGTCCACTAAAAACTCGTTCCGTATAGTCGTTACCGATAGGTATAGCCATCACTGATTCGATAACTTTAGTTAAGTTTATTGAGTCAAATGATGACAATATTTTGCAGTATTTTGAAATTGTATCTGAATTGGTATCAGTTTTATTCAACTCATTCAACATATTATTAAATGTTATTAACTCATCAAACAGGGAATCATTGTCTATATTAATATTTAATTTATGACTGATTTGCAAAACATTGTCATAAATCACATCAGAATCCAAATTAAGTTTTGAAAATAATTTAAATGGACTTTCATTTAAATTAAAATTTTTATTTAAATAATCAATTGCTCTCTTGTATGCAATTTTTGCACTATTTTTGAAGTCGTTTTGCACATCAATTGAAAAATTAATAATATTTTCATTCACTTTTGTACCGAAAAAATTAAAGTTTAAGCGATTATTCAGTTGTGAATTAAGTTTAAACATTATATCGTATAAATTCGTTGCATTTGTTGTTTTCATTTCTAATAATTTAATATTCTTATGAAATAAGTCCATTAAATGAGCGCAAAAATGTAAGTACAACTCACAGATGGTTATGTTGTTAACAGTTTCTGCCCACACAAAATCGCTAATAATTGGCGGACATTCTTCTGTTCCGATTCCAACAAAATATGATTTAATAAACACTAAATTATTAATTATATGATTAACAGCTGGCAATAAAGTTAACCATCTTGTAGTAACATGTCTTTTCAAAGAGTGAAACTCATTTTCGGCGTATTCATAGCACGATTTCAATTCACTCACTCTTTTAGCTGATATTGAAAAATGTGAGAAAATCTTTAGCACAAGGTTTTCAACATCAAATGGAAACGTTAATAATGCATATTTGATTGTATTATGTAGTATATGACAGTTACAGTTAGCTTTTATAATGAATGCGTTCTCATCTTTAAAACTTTTATACACTGAATGATGTATTCCGTAGTTAACTGATGCGTTGTCCCCGGAATATGCGATCAAATTATTATAATTTAATTCATTTTCGATCAAACTTTTCTTTAATTTATTAAAAATGTTTTCTGACTTTTCATTTGAATCCTCATAGAAATCGAGTACAAAGTTATTAATTCCGGAATTAGTGTCAAAATATTGAATGACAATTGGAAAGAGTTTCACATTTCCTTTATTAGACGCATCGCTTGCAATTGAAAATTTCTTTTCAAAAACTGAATTTAAATGTTTTTCAATACTTAGAGGACACAACACATTCTCAGCCAATGCTCTCATTTTTGTATTACCGCACTGTAATCCCTGGCATATCTTTGAGTCTTTAAATAGATTTCTCATGAGTTTGACACCACAATCCATCGAGTTATAGCTTAAATAGTGGTTAATTGTGTGATACGTTAGGCAAAGTTCACTAACCGTAACTTCATTTGTTTGTTTTGCACTAATTTGTGTCACAAATTTGCTCATATTTTGACACATTTTTGCAGATTTTACTTTAGATTTATGTCTTTCAGAGTCTTTGTGTGCATTCACTGCAGAAATGCCTTCATATCTCACTGTAAAACTTGTGTTACATATACGGCAACTGGCGGTCAAATCGTCTATTTTATTTAGCCATTCATTCAATTCTGGTTTCTCTAACCAAATATCTAAAAACTTTGCGACACATCTCTTCTTCTTCTTTGGAGTACTCATTGTTTGTGTCCTAATCTGAAGACACTTTGTCTCACTCTTTGTTCACACAATCATACCGTTCGTGAGCTCTTAAATAAAAACTACAATTCATACAAACTATTGAAATGAAAGTACTTCTTGAAGTTGATCCTAAGGTGTTGACAACAGGCAATCAGGCACACTATTCATTCAGCAGTCACTCCACTTCACTCCTAATGACTACCAATCTCTACGAAAACTAGATTATTGGTGTCTAAATTCACATTAAAACACATTTTTGTTTATACATTCACTCAACAAAGCAATGCTTTTTTGTAGGTTAATGTACAGTATATACTATTTAATGCATAGTATTTAATATATAATAATAACCATACAGTAGTATGTATCCATGCGCACAAAAATAATACTACTTTATAAACTTTTATATACAGTTTTGTGTAATTTTTAAAAGATTTTCGTGTTATTTAATAAATAGCATTCCTTGAGATCTCCATATTAAGGAATGACCCGTACCTGAAGTATGGGCGCTGACCCTGATTCCTTAAGGATTCAGGTGCCACCTTAAGATATGGGAACACTAGTCGTAATCATTGTTCACATAAAAATTATTATATATTAAACTTAACATGCTGTAATAAATATACTGTATACGTATTGTGTTTTGTAATTTGTACCTGGCGCCCATAATTGCCAATAGACTTCCAGCGTTAACTGAACCAGACACTAGTAATAAATTATTTTGTAATATTGTACTAGTATAAATAATATTTTTTGTAAAATTTAAGCTATAATACCGTTACGAATGATCTCTTTCGACATTTTTTTAGTTTGAAAGCAATTATAAATAGATTTCTGTGTTTTAGTCGACACCCGGATATTAGTCCACGAAATACGCACCGAATGTATGGTCTCTCTCGGACTCACATTCCTATTGTCGGCATTTATTTCAGACATTTTTATTGTATTAAATTATTAACAAAACTTAATAAAATAAGTAAAATTTTTAATATGTAATTGCGTTTTAATAATGTCGAAAATACTTTTAAATAATGACTATTATTTAATAAATGCTGACTAATTATTTCAGTATAATATTAATTAAAAATAAAGTTGCATGGAGCGTAATTTACCATAAATTACCGTATTCCCGCGCAAACACCGGCATGCCGGTGTAAAGTGAGGCTGATGAGACTGCCGTTATACCCGGGTATAAAGGCATGCCGTAATAAGTGTGGTCTAAAATATGTTTTTAACATTTTAAAAATTATTAATATTTTATTATATAAATGCGTTAAAAATAAATTTAAACCTTTCCTATTAATTTTACCATTTTACTGTTTATTTTTGTTGCATAAATAGGTTAATGCTAGAAAAAATATATAAATGTAAGTAAAATTAGTACTAGTATCGCCAGAGCTCTCATTTCAAGTAATACTAATGCATACCATCACGTGAAAAAATATGATAAGAAAATACTTGATAAACAGATTAAAATTCTGAAAGCATGTGATTTTGCTGTAAACATATTTTGATTTTAACATAAAATTTTAACAAGTAATTGAAAATATTTTAGTCATTTAAACAGTAGACTACAATAATCAAAGGTGTGCTGACTAACTAAATAGTACATTTAACTACATTTGCAAACTATATTAGTGGATAGCTCAGTTGGTAGAGCGGAGGCGTCGGCCCCACTNCTACATTTGCAAACTATATTAGTGGATAGCTCAGTTGGTAGAGCGGAGGCGTCGGCCCCACTGACCAACACATCAATCAAACGCTGAATTATGCACTGAATTAACTAAATAATGTACTGATTTAGCTTAATTGTGTACTAGATTAACTAAATAATGCATTAATTTAGCTTAATTATAAACTAAATTAACTTAATTATGCACTGAATTAACTAATTTATTACAAAATTAGCTTAATTTTAACTAAATTAAGTACTAAATTATCTTAATTAAGTACTAAGTTATTAATAAATTAACTTAATTCTGTACTTAATTAACTAATTTATTACTAAATTAGTTAATTATGCATTAAATTAACTTAATTGCGTACTATATAATGTAATTGTTTGTTAAAAGATGTAATAAAGTTTTACATAATTCAACATATTATATTTTCCAAAATTTTTTTACGTGATTTAACCTCACTTTTAACTGAAAATTACTTGAAATGAGAGCTCTGAGTATCGCTTTATTTCAACTTTATAGCATGGCCATTTATAAATATGTGTAGGGTGACCAGATCAAAAAACATGAATACTTGAAAGTTAACTCAAAAAATACTTGACATTAAATTTTATTTCAGTTTTAACGGTAAATATTTTCATTTAGCGGTAAATTAACAGAATTTAGATAACTAAAAATTTAATTATTCACTTATAACCAATATTTGAATTAATATAATTATAGTTATTTTTAATTTGAATCCATATTATGATATTAATATATAGTATAATTAGATCATTAGATAGAAATAGTGCTTATTATTCTAGTTATAATTTTGATTTTAGATATGTACGAATCCGTATAATACATAAAATGCAATTTATTATTAACGTATAATACGCTTACAATAACAGTCAAAATAAAATACATGTATTTTAACATTACAACAGAGCTATAGAAATATGTTATAAAATTTTAATTTTTGTTAAAAATTACAAGTTAATTTAGCAATCAATTATTTGTCAATTTAGTTAGAAATAAATGTAATTTTGTTATTACTTAATAGTAAAATCAATATGATACTCTGAAAACTTACAATCGCCTTTCAATTTTCAAATCCACTGATTTCGTTATAATTAGATCACCGGAAACACTTTGCTGCAATGGTTTCTAAAAATACAACAATTATCAATCGTTTATAATACTATTTATCAAATTGTATAGAAATTTAATTAATAATACGTCTGTTGTGTGGAAAACATAACGATGCACGAGATTGACCAGGGCTAATTTAATCTCCAACTGAGCCAATCGCGTGCCCAGACAGTTTCGAGGGCCGGCACCCCATGGCAAATACGTATAGGGATTGTGGGCTATGTTTTCCGTTAAAAACCTTTCCGGTCTAAACACTTCCGGATCGGCAAAGTATTCCGGGTCTCTATGCATGGCGTAGGTTGGGATGTGCACCACGTGATCCTTTTTAATAGTAATACCGGTGCCCTTTAGCTCGTAGTCTTCGGTGGCCACCCTATTCAGGAACAGGAGGGGCGGGAATAGTCGTAGGGTTTCTTCGATGACTGCGTCCATGTATTTCAATGAGTGTATCGTTTCGTACGGATCGGCACTTGATTTCTGTTTTAAATATTATTACAATTTAAATGTTATGTCAAAGATCAAGGTGAATGTAATACTGTACTCGACATAATAACGTCAATATATATATATTTATAATATAAAAAACGATCAATCGATGACTAAAAATGAATGACTATTGATAAATAATTTGTGATGAATGTAAGCTAACTCTGGGTGTAGCCAAGTATATACTTGAATCTTCAAACTTGGCATATACCATTTTATTCTACACTATTTTATGTGTTAATTAGGCTGGTCAAATATGGCGAATGGCCAGGCACTTCTCCGTACGGGCCATGGTTTGTCCGCATATTCTACATGTTATTCCCTATTCATTGCTTAAAATATGCATTTAGTAATGTTTTACTGTGAAAAATATTTAGAAATACAACTAAACTCATGCTG